GGGAGATGAGATCATGAGGGATTTCCACTGTCTATATTCACAAACTAGATGAAAACAAAATTAAACAATATGTTATAAAATGCAATTCATATTGTTTAATTTTTCTGTATCTATGTTCACTAATGAGTTTAGGTGGTCATTTTCTAGTGCCTTTGCAGATTACAACATTAGATTATATTGGTTTTGTCAAAGATCTCTGGAAACCCTTACTTCTAAAAGAGTTTATATAAAATTGGTGTAATTTCATTTGTTTCTTATGTATTTGGAAAGAATTTGCTGGTGAAGCCAAATTGACTTGGAATTTGCTGTAACACTAGGTTTTGAATTACAGACTTACTTATTAGATATAGAACAATTCTGACTTTCTTTTGCTCTTACTCAGTTTTAATCAATGTTTTTCAAGAATTTGTTTATTTGAATTATCATAGCATTGTTTATAATATCTTCCTACAGTCTTTAAAAATATATAGCATTTGTATTAATTTTCCTTTTTATTCTGATATCCATTATTTGTGCCTCCTCTCTTTTCCCTTGATTTCAGTGTTCATCACTGTTATTTTTTTTTAAAGAACCAACTTTTGGTTTTGTTGGTTTTGCTGTATGATTATTTCCTGCATATTACACTTTGACATGTACAATGGTTCTAATTTCTGTGGGTTTAATTTGCTATTCTTGAAGTCTATCAAGTTACATACACAAATTAGTGATTTTCAGCCTTTTTAAAAATATATACACTCATATCTATAATTTTTATCTGGGCATAATGTTAGTTGTGCCCCACATTTTATATGACAATTATATTACCATTTATTTCCCAGCATTTTGTAATATCCATTGTGATTACTTTTTAGGCATAGTTTATTTGTAAATTTAAAGTTTAATATCAGATATGAAGAGGCTTTACTGTTTTTCTTTTTGATAGTGATTTTGTAATTTAATTATCCTCTCTGTAATAAACATAATTTCCTTTGAAATGTATTGAAGCTTGATTCATGGTTCATAATATGGTTAATTTTGGTAACTTTCCAGTACACTTGAAAAGAATATGTAATGTAATAATGGGATATAATATTCCATATATGCAATTATGTCAAGTTCACTAATGATTTTATTTAATACCAATCAAATCCCAGCAAAGTTTATTTGCTTATTCATAAAAATCTGATTTCAAAGGAAGATAAACAGAAAAGGTCAGTTCCATTTAAATGTCTCACAAGTCCTGACTTCTTTTATTGCCTCCCAAAGCCTTTAAAGAGCTGTTCTTTGTATTGTATCCAGCTTTTGTAGCTGTTCTCAATGGGAGGGTTGTTATGATATAAGTTACTCTGTCAAAACTGAAAATGGAACTCTCCCACAACCATATTTTCACTGTTGGCATTACTATTCCAAACAGAATGAGTAAATTTCCTTAAAATATCACAAAAGACATCTATTTCTAGAATAAAAATATTTTTCATGTGGCTTGAATTTTTATGTAGTTGTTTAACTAGTGTGTTTCTAGAAAACAGAATGAATAATAACAGAATATAAAACAAAGCTCTTTCGAAAGTACAGAATTATTCATACTTGAAATGGCAGCATTTAACTCAAATCACTGTTTTTGAAGAAGCGTTCAACTATAGGTAGGAAAAATTGCTTTTCTTTGAGACACACGTTGCTTAGGTCTGAGTCGAAGCTGAGCAAGGCTCACAGAATGTAGGAACCCACACACATCAGTACTGACAGTTTTTCTGTCATAAACCAAAATGATAAACCTATGTTGTAGATGTGTGTGGCAATTGATTGTAAATGTGTATGCATGAATGAGCCTGTGTAAGGTGACTGTGGGTATAAATATTTATGTGCATACAGTTTGTGCAATGGCCTGCATATGGGTGGGTTATCTGCAGAAATCTAGGAAGAGGTGTGTGTATTCATGGATAAACATGAAAGATGCTAAGCTTATGAGGGCATGTGTGCATGCCTAGGATGCTCCAACATTTATCTATAGGTTGTTGTATCCAAGGGAAGGCTCTCAGGAACCTGGAGAGGAAATATCCATGGATGGGAACAGGGAAGGAGGAGAAGTCTATCGATAGTCTAAACACTGAGTATTAGTATTCCCAGTACACTTGATCTTTCATCTAATCCCTTAGATTTATGCCCATTTTCCTGAAAGGACTCCTGCCTTAATATACTGAGAACATCCTAATCTCTGCAGTATAAGAAACTCTTACCTTGCCCTTCATTCCTCCTAAAATTCCTAAACTCCTATTTTCTTCCATCCTTCAAATTTGGAGCACCATGTTTATGTTTTCAACTAAAAGGCTTCCCATGCACTCTGGCTACCTCTATAAGTTGTATCAGGCTAAACACATTAGGATGTTTTATCATCCTCTGAATACAGCAAACACACCACATATTTCCTGCTTATTCACCTTTCTACCATTACAGTCCCCAAATGCCTTCTAACATAATAGACCTACCACAACTTGTGACTAAGTAAGTCTACATGAGGTACAATAGCAACGATCATTTTACAAAGCTCATTTTGAAAGTATTCACAATAGAGTGCTCATTCACAATTACTAGGGTCAGCAGAACACTTTCATATTCTAAGCCCAAATACAATAACAGATTGTTTCAAGTATGCTATATGAGTACGAAAAGTAGGGAATGTTTCCAAATATTTAATATGGTAATTCTTATACATTTCCTGCCCAGTTTAATTGATATTAAAGAGAAAAGTCAAAAAAGCTTCTAATATATTCATAATAAAAATGACAATCTCTGGAATTTTAATGAAAAATCTATTATCTTAATTTTCTAGAAGACAGAGAATCCTTGGAAGCGATTTTAAATAAGAGATTCTGAAAGTGCCCAAATTTTGTACGCAGTGAAAGCTATAACCAGAAGGAGACATTGTGGGTTCACTGAAAACAAATCAGACTAAAATAATTTCATTTCCTTTTTATAGGGTATCAGTATTAGTATCCTAAGTGAAGGCCATTGGCAGTTTTCTTTTTTTCAGTAGGACCCATGAAATGTTCATTATGGAACCATTATAGAGAAAATGCAGAAACATGAGCTAAAAATAATTAGGTAGATTCACAGATGGTTGAAATTCCATAGTCACAGTATTAGTTAACTACTTGACCTGTGGCACACACCCTGGTAAGTAGCTATAGATCCTATGGAATTGGCTGCCTTTGAGGGGTGGGGGTCAGGGAGTGTTATTGTTTCTAACTTTCCCTCTGGTTCCATCTAGTGGCTTACTTTGCTTGGATCAGTTGCCATAGTACTCATTCTGCTTCATATTTACATTAAATATCAGTTATTTAACAGCTGTGATTATATAACTTCATGTGGGACGGATGAGCCACTTTCTGATGCATCTTTGAATGCCAATGATTAGAACAAGGTTGTCTTTGGGACTTGGGCTATGCTGTAGGTCTCTAGGTGTAAACTAAATGTGCCACTAATGAAAATCAGAGCAAGTATTCACTTTTTATTAAACACCATGCAGTTCACATGACATTTCATTTTGGTTTTCTTCTCTGAGGCATAGCCTTTCTTGTGTCACCCACATATTCTGTTTCCCTTCATATCCTTGGCCTCTATTCTTCTTTTCTTGTTTCCTAGTTTTTTCCCCTCATCATATAGTAACACTAGCACAAATTCTAGCCCAATTTTGTGTTTGTTCAGAATCTTGTGGATTTTAAAAACATCTCCATCCATCATTTAGTTTAACAAGAAAGAGTGGTTAGAAACATACACTGGTAGATGAAACCACAAAGACTCAGAGATGTTAAAAGTACTGCTCAAGCTGTCACTACTGGGTTATTGTGAAGTCTGAGCTCCAGCTCAGCTTTTTTGAAGAATCATCTAGTTCTCTGTCTCCTTCATGATACTTTTCATCAGAAACTCTCTACTGTCCCTAGGAATGGAAAGGCATTGGAGAATTTGAGTGCTTTCACCTTTTTTCCTAGCTGTGATTCCAACATATCATTTGTGACAAACCCAATCAAAAGAGACAAACCATCCCTGTGCCTCCTGGGTCACTGGAACAAATTCCTTACAATGTAGACACATTAGGGTCTCAATTTGAACCAGAATACGGAGTTTCTTCCCCAGAAACGTCTATCATAACTAGAGCAAAAACAACTCAACCCAAAACAATTTTTATTGGATGAAGGCTGGCCACATAAAATGCTCTTTGTACTCTTACCTAGTGCTAGAATTTGTAACTGAAATGTCTCCCAAAGAGAAGTCAGTCTATAGTATGGTTCCTAGCTTGGCACTCTTGAGAGGTGGCAGAACCTCCAAGAGGTAAGATCTAGTGGGAGGTCTTCCAGTCATTGTGGCTGTGCCCTTATAGAGGACAGTGCCCTACACTTTTTCTTTCTGTTTTGCTCCCCTACCATGAGGTGACTGGCTTTGCTCTACCATGTGTTTCTTGCCATGATATGCTACCTTACAATAGGCCCCAAAATAACAGAATCAACCACCCAACCATGTACTCAAAACTCCAAAACTCTGAACCATAATAAACCTTTACTCTTTATAAGTTGATGATCTCTGGTACTTTGTTACAGTAACAGGAAGCTGACTAGTACTCTTGGCATTACGCTTTTCTTACCGGCTAATAGCACCTTGCCATAGTATATCAGGAGTGAAGAAAGTTTTGTGCACTGCTCCAATACACAATCATTTCCAGTTGTAACCACTACCCTCACTGTCCTCATCATCATAAATGATAAATACTGAACAATCAACATGTCCAGCAACAGTGAAAAGTGCTGTATACATTCATTATCTCTGTAAATTCTTTACATCTTTAGAGGCAGGAATTACTATCCTAGGTTAAGTAAACTGAAACTTAGGGAGAATAAGAAACTGGCAAAAATCATAGAATTAGTAAATTAGTAAATTGCAGAAATGGAATTTGAAAATGGATCTGTTTAATGCACCCACCTTTCATAAGTATACAACTCATACAGCAACAATAATAAAATGCCCTTTATTCAAATGTCTTCACTTTGCTTTTGCTCTTATTATATAGATTCCTGTTTGAGATGGAATATTGAACCAGATGAGTTCTCAGTCTTTCCAACCCTTAGATCCTATAAACCAGATCATGAATCTTACCCTATACCAGACCAGGAAATAGCAGAAATTTGGTTAATGTGTGAAGAGTAAATGAGACCCCACTCTGCCAGTGATAAGAATCAATTCATGGGGCTGGGGATGTGGCTCAAGCGGTAAGGAGCTCACCTGGCATGCGCGGGGCGCTGGGTTCGATCCTCAGTACCACATAAAAATAAAGATGTTGTGTCCACCGAAAACTGAAAAATAAATATTACAAAATTCTCTCTCTCTCTCTCTCTCAAAAAAAAAAAAAAAAAAAAGAAAGAAAAAGAATCATTTCAGGAATGCAACTCAGAGGGTTGTGCTTTTATTCTGAAACTTTATGCCATAAAATAAATTTAATGGAAATATCCTCTGATAATATTTGCCAACATGGCTTAGCACAGTTTAGCAGAGAATTTCCAAGCACTTGTCTTGATCAAAATGAAACTAGAAGGAGGTCAGGTGTTATCATCGCCATATATATCAACTCAACAGACTTTGAACGATCTGCTATAGATACATTTTTCCACATCATCATGTCTTGAGGTTTGGATTGTTTACTAGTTGTGTGGCTTGTAATTTAAGGAACATAAAAGAAAGTTCTTTTGTAAAAGGAACTTATTAAGGAAACAAAAATACAGTCAGTCATATTGTTAAAATATTTGGCTTTGAATAATACTTTTATTGCATTATGTGTATGCAACATATATGACCCAACTATACCACTCCTTGATATTTAAAGAATTAAAGTTAGCATACTATAGTAATAGATGCATACCCATGTTGATAGAAGCACAATTCACAATAGCCAAATTGTGGGACCAGCTTAAGTGTCTGTCAAAGGATGGATGTACAAAGAAAATGTGATAAACACACATAATGGGATTTTATTCAGCAATAAAGAATGAAATTATGTTATTTCCAGGAAGAGTGATGGAATTTGAGAACATTATGTTAAGCAAAATAAGCCAAACTCAGAAAGCCAAGAGTCTTATGTTTTCTCATAAATGGAAGCTAGAGAGGAAAAAAGAAATGAAAGGTGAGGGAGATCTCATGAAAATAGAAGTGATATCAGTAGAGAAGAGGAAAGGGACCAGGGAGAGGAAAAAGCTAAGTACTGGGGGATGATTTTAGCCAAATTATATTTTTATATCATATGCATGTGCAAATATGCAACAAGGAATACTATTTTTATGTATAATTATAATGCACCAATAAAATATGGAAAAATTGATTGCATTATGGTAGATAACATTCACAAAAAGCATATAGAATAGTAAGTTTCTCTTGTGAACATATGCATGTACTGAGTGCAATTAGGAAAATTCTAAAATTGTGACCCACAACTGTGATTGTTGTACATGCTGAAATCCAAGGCTTTAATGAGACAAGAGTGAAGACATCATTTGATAAATGCTGAAATTTCTGAATTCCTTCAAGGTTATGCAAACACAATTCAGATGGCTATTTATATGTTAAGTGGCAATGCAAAGATACCTTATGACACTAATTTGTTGCTTCTACTTTTTTCATAAAAATTGCTGATAAAACTCCATTGTTTTTTGTTCTGTCAGATATTTTATGTGCCTATCCAGATGCAATTATAAACTGAAAAACTATAAGCCATGTATTTTGTCAAAATAAACCACTACTTTTTATAAAATATTACTAAAATAATTATTACATAATACTTCATAGGTTCTTTTGAATTGTAATAAATGAAATAAGTATCACTGACTAAGTTTCAGGGCACATAATATATAACTGATAAACACTTGAAATAGTAGCTGGAAGGTGAGTGAAATTAATATTTCCACAATGGTCCCAAAGTTCACTAACCAAAATTGTCATTTTCTACTATATGACAGAAGAAATTCAGTTTAGTTAAGATTAGATGAACTTTAGATGTTATGCAAATGTTCCTTTAATTTTCTAAATGATTTATATTTAAAATCATCTGTCAGAAAAATTGAAAAACCATACATTTCAATTTATTCCCAGTATACAGAACCAATGTGTTCCCTTTCATCTATAATAAGTGAGTCAATGAATATTAATAGCTATTTCTACATCCATTGTTGCCAGACGGAGCATTATTCAATGTTTATCAATGAAGATACCTAAATGGATATTTTATGTATGAACATGTCCAAACCATGTTCAGTGACAGACCTTTGATTTAAAACTCTGAACTGTGGGCTACTATTTCCTCTGGCAAAAGCTAGGCCTGGGGCTGGGGTTATGGCTCAGTGGTAGAGCGCTTGCCTAGCACATGTGAAGCACTGGGTTCTGTCCTGAGCACCACATAAAAATAAAATAAAATAAAATAAAATAAAGGTATTGTGTCCATGTACAATTAAAAAAGCTAGGCCTGCTAACATTTCAGCTCCATGTACTAAAATAATGATTAGCACCCTTACCTCAAAGCCAGTAATCTAACCAAGTGTCGCAACAATATGCTTTCAATGACTGGATATCTGTGCATGAGCCTGGCAAGCCATAATAAGAACATTGTTTCTCCCTGTGCATGGGGTCTACTGCAGTCTTCAGAGTCATTGACATTCTGTGTTCATCAGAAGCCTGGAGAGAATTACAGATACAAAAGTGCTTTGAGCTCAGGTACACAAAATGCTTAGGTTGTACGCATTTGAAGACTAAGTACTGTTGACATATTTGTCTTTCATATCATCTGGCACAGGTTGAACTCACAGCAGGCATTTAGTACACATTTTTGCTGACTTGTTTCACTCTTAAATCCTGTGTAGCATAATGGCACACAAAGAGAGAGTATCTAAGGTCATGACTGCTATGTATGCTAAGACCAGCTTCTGGTGGCTAGAAATAATCATGGATAAGGTGGATAATAAAAGTAGAGGGGAAAGAGTGAGCGAGAGAGAGAAATCTTTTAAATCTGTTTCAAGAGCACATGCTGTATAAAAAGTAAATCTAAAGGCTTTTCTTCCATTTCATTAACTAGTTAAATTTTCCTTATCTTGGGATAGGCCAAACTTTAATAGAAAATTTAATATTTCACAATAAATGTGTAAAATCTGAAGGGAAAACAATAAAAATGCATCTAGATAACAATATCTAGACATTATGGTATTTTGTAAAAGAAGACCTCAAACATCATATATTACAATTACTTTTTTTATGAATGAGAGAGAAAAGGTTCAAAGAGAGTAACTTCCCCAAATTCAAACAGTCACCAAGGACTTCTAGCTCAGCAACCCTCATACCTTACAGGCTGCATACTTTTGGATCATTTTCCGATTTTCAACTTCATGTTGCACATTAGAGAACTCTCCAGTGTAATATGGGCAGTAAACCACTTTTTATGATCTTTATTACTTTTCTATAGATATATGAGTTCTATGAGTTAGCAAGACATTTTCTAAACCATAGTTAGTTTTAATCATTTGTAGATTTTATAATCAGTTTTCAAAGTCATCTTATTTATTTGCAAATTTGACTTCCAAATATTTTTGTTGAGTGCTTAGTCATTCCCTTTTCATTTTATCCCAATTAGAGTGAACTGTGACACAGATTTCTTTTTTAACAGCAAGCCTATGCATTCCTTTTGCCTAAAAAAATATCCAGGATAATTTATATTAATGTAAACACAGAATACTTGCTTTTGGGTAATGGTATAGGCAACACTTAAGATCTTGGTTATCAAAATATAATAACCAAGTCGTACTTTAAAGTACCTGTCTTTGTGTCTTGAAATAATAGTTTCACAAAAGAAATAAAGCTTTTGTTTTAAATAATAATACTATCAGTAGTTTATGATTCTAACCCTCAAATTTCCCTGTCTCACATCCTTCTCATAGCTGGTTTTTTTTCCACTTTTGTATATATCATCCACTACTCATTGGTGACAATCACCCTGGGCTTAGGAAATTGGGAAAACAGTACAGCCAAATAATAAAAGCATATAAAAATAGATTTGAAACAATTCTTCATAATTGACATTCTAAAGAGTGGCAGCTATAGATGTTTGCTCATTCTCATAATAAGATATTCAAGCTTTCATCTTATTAACTGACAAACCCTTTCCTTCAACTTCATACTGTTTCTAAACTGACAATCAATTTTCTTGGTTTAATGTTTTTTTCATCTGTAAATGAAAATTATTTTCTTCTTACCAGTGATTGAACCCAGAGGCACTTAACCACTGAGCCACATCCCAGCCCTTTTTATTATTTTTTTTTTATTTCGAGACAGGGTCTTGCTGAGTTGCTTAGGGTCTTGCTAAATTGCTGAGGCTGGCTGTGAAATTGTGATCCTCCTGCCTCAGTCTCCTGAACTGCTGGGATATTAGGCACGTACCACCATGCCTTGCTGGAAATTATTTTCTAATAATGTTTTTATTTGAATCATCAAATAAATGGAGATAAATATTTTAAGTATATGGCTTAAATATGAGTAAATATCTGGTTACAATTGGGTAGTATAGCTAGGTGTCGTGGTACATACCTGTAATCCTAGCAACTCAGGAGGCTGAAGCAGAAGGATTCCAAATTCAATGCCAATCTCAACAACTTAATGAGGCCCAAAGCAACTTAGTAAGACCCTGTATCAAAATTAAATAAATAAATAGGGATGGGAATATAGCTCAGTGGTTAATCACCTCTGGGTTCAATCCCTGGCACAACAACAACAACAACAAAAAGAGTAGTGTATACCACTATACATTTTATTTAAAAATTTAAGATTTGTATTGGGTATTTTATGAAATATATCAGAATGGTATTTTATCATATTATTGGGGAAGTCAAATTATATGTAAGAATTTTTTGACTCAATAATGGTAGAAACATATAAAATATAAATTCTTTTATATTTAATATACAAAAGAAACACATTCTTCTCAACAGTTTCCTAGTGAATCTCTATCCTAATTCTAATGTTAGGATGGATTCAACAAAGCTTATCTAATTTATACTCCATATTACTGTCATAGCAGCCTCAGAGTTTCTCAGTTGCCAAATTATACTTGATTTATATTGGGCTTTAGGCAAATAAACTCAGGAGGTTTTGTTAGTTTTTTTGGTTGTTGGTTGGTTTGGGGTTTTTGCACATTAATTTTAAGGTAATTCTTCATCATGCAATTGATTTTTTAAATATAAGTGCTAAATATTGTCATCCAATCTCTTGGTTATGATTCAAGTTCTATAATTCTACTTGTAAGAAATTCCTTTTCTCTTTAATCAGTTCTCCCTTTTTCTCCATCTGTCTTTCTCTTATTCACAACCCAGCCCCCCCCCCCTCCACACACACACCCATACATACCTGGCCAAGGCCCAGTGGAGAGACTTAAACATATTGCTGTTACTGTTCTCTCTATAGGTTGTCTTTAGTTTGCTATTTACCTGTTCACACTCCTTGAAAGTAGTTATTCTATTCAACAGACAATGTTTTGTCTCTCATACTACATTAAAAACAATTTCTTAATAGTTTAAGAAAAGATTAGGTGCACTTAAAATCCTAGAAATCTATCCAGAATTTCCTAACCTACTTTTATTTTGACTCCAATGAACAAAAGGAATGAAGTCAGTTTGGTAATGACTTGTACTTCAGAGAACGTATAGGTTCCTAGTGACCATTGGTGTTCTTTTTAATTCTTGTGTTCACATACCATAGGCTTGAACATTCATTTTGGATATTATTTGTACAAAATAACTAAGGTTACTTATCTTTAAAGGTCAAGTTCTACCATTTTCCTTTAGTGTTTAGTTTCTTATATTACTCTCATTCTCATGATATCTTAAACATGACTTCTGCAAGACCTTTCAATACTCTAAAATTGGATTAGGGTTAAAAATTCATTTTAAGATCTGTTTTTTTTTTCATTTTTTGTGAGTACATAGGAATCAATTTTAATCTTAATAAAATGCAGATTTTTGTTCAGTGGGTTTGGCCTGGGACTTGATATTTGTCATTGCTGACAAACAGGTGATGCTTATGCAGCAACATGGGCAGCAAGCAACTGAGCAGTGATTTTTCAACTTCATTGTTCATTGGAATCCCCTGGTCAAATTTACAATAAACAATTTCTGGGTCCCATTCCCACAGTTTCTGATTTAATTGACCTGGAGTATAGCCTGAGTATCAGGAATTTTAGGAAGTTCCTGATTGTAATGTTCAATCAAGTGTAGTTTTTCCCTTTCAATCTCTGACCCAGTGACTTATTTAAAGGATAGTATGAAGCAAATTAGGAATTATTATTTTAAAAGTAATAGAGAAAATTGCTTTCATGGAAATATACTGATGCTTCTAATAAAGCAAGAACAATATCTTATGATATGAATGCCCTATTCTGCCACTAGCATACTAGGACCCTGCTACTGTCAATGTGCTCTGGGGACAATTCATTTAGAAACTTTAAGTGCAGAATCTTAGGCCTCATCTCAAACATTTGAGATCCAGAATCTATCTTTTACCGAGATGTACCAGGTGATTATTGTGCACATTAAAGTTTGAACCTTTCTATTCTAGGAACCTCACTATTCTCACATTCTGTGACAAAAAAATTGAATTATTTATTTTGGTTTACAATTTCAAAGATTTCTGTCCATGATCAGCCAGCAGAGTATTTCTAAGGGCCTGAAGGAAGGCAGAAAAATAGCAGAGTAAAGCTGCTCAGCTCATGGCAGTCAGGAAGCAGAGACACAAAGTGGTAGGAAGAAGAGGCCAGAGACAAGATACAGTTGTACAGATATGTCCCCAGTGATCTAGGTCTTTCAACCATGTCCCACCTCTTATAGTTTCCATCACCTCCCAGTAGTTCATTCAGCTATCAGTGGATTAATCCACAGATAAGATCAGAGGCCTCAAGATTCAATCATTTCCCCCAAAACTCCATCGTAGCATTGGTGACCAAGCCATCACCACATGAGTCTTTGCAGACCACTTCATATCCAAACCAAAAAAAGAGGCTTTTTCCTCTTCGCAGTTGCTCTGTGCCAGATACACAGTTCAGCCAATCCTCTCTGTTATAATGGCCTTAGAAGGAAAGAGAAGAAAGAGAAAGAGCAGAATAAAGGTGAAGTATTGAGAAAATTTTTAATAAAACCTTGCAAAGAAGTTCCAAAAGATATCCACAATCCAGAATAGGTTTCCAATCTGTTAAGAAAGTCTTCATTTATGTAGCAAAATTTAGAATAATAATTATGATTCATTTATACAACAGTCTTTAAAATACACACACACACACACGTATGTATATATATTTGGCAATTAGCTACATCAGCATGCCCTGCAATTCTACAACTCTTTATTAGTAGTTTTCAACAGGTGATATTTTTGCTCTACACAGAATATTAGGCATTTTGGTTGTCATGACTTGAGGGAAGGGGCATAAGTGCTATCTAGAGGGTAGAGGCAGTAATATATTACCAGGGATACATCCTATATAATGCACAGCCACCCACAAAAAAGAATTATCTGTCCTCAGATGTGACATCATCACTGAGGTTAAGAAGCCTGTTCTACAGGCTATCAATTTAGAATAATATATAGATGTGATTTCTTGGAAAGGCAAAACATCACTTGTAAAAATGGAATAAGATAGTTAAAAATATCCTCAACTAAATTACTCCATTATGAGGTGGTGAATGAACAAGATATTAGAAAGGACTAGGGATACAGCTCAATTGGTAGAATGCTTGCCTAGCATGCACAAGGCCCTGGGTTCAATCCCCAGTACCACATTAAAAAAAAATCTGCACCTGGGGTGGATTCAACAACACATAAATGTTTTTAAAAAAGATATTAGAAAAACAGAATGGTCTCAATTTGTACAAGCTGGTAAAAATGCATTTGTAGCTCTGGGGTATAAAGTTCATTTTCTTAGTGTGTGCATTAAACACTGCTAATTGGCATTGTACAAGCAGTCTGGTAACAGTTCTTTGTCAACTTTTTGATTATCATTAGTGAATCAAATGTCAAATTCCAGGAACTACTTAGTAAGCACCCTTGAGATGATGCCATTCTATTATGCACTCTTAAGAGGTTAATCCTAACTGTAACCACTTGTGAGAGTAATTTACAATTTTTAAAATGCACAATTATAATATCTGCAGAAGAGTTCTCCTGGTTGTACTCTCTGTGGTCATTTAATGATATCGCCTTTAATCTGCTGGTGTTGTTGAGTCTCTGCTGAGGAGAACCTGCATGAAGTATGTACACAGGAAATCATCAGCCAACCATGGACATTGATAGGGTTCCTTGTGTAGAAACAAGGTACGTTAAATGTCAGTGCTGGGCATCAATAGTGAGGTGCTCAACAAACCATGATGGGGATAGTTCTTGGGAACATGAAAGCTGGAAAAAGATGGAGACATGGCCCCAGGGATCTGGCAGGCTAATGGTTTTGACCTTCTTAAGTTCTCTGTCTCCTACCTAGAACACACCTTTTCAAGGTGTGTCATGTAACCCTTGGGGGTGTTGGGAGAAAGTATTAGACCTTCCAGTAACAGTGATTTTCTAAAACTGGAAAGCAATGAGGTTTGCTAATGATTAATATCTGACTTTCACACTTGGTTTGTCTGCCAAGTGTTCGTATCACATTCTGTCCTGAGGAAAGCTTGGGGTCTATCCACAGAAGAGACTTTATTACTCTATTTGTTTTCAACAAATTGCAACAGATTGTGATTTACACAATTCAAGTATATTATTTTACCATAGTAAATGGTAGAATCCTCACAATATTGCATATTGGGGTGAGGTGTAAGCATAATATCTTTTATCCCCACCAAGGTTCACCATTTAACCCCTGATAAAATGCAAGAGAAATAGTTGAAATTAGACATATCAACATTGTCTTTTAGAAAATGATTGGTGTTAATTTGTTGACCTTTTCAGGGATGATCAGTGACTCTCAGTAGCTGCTACCTCACAGGCATGTAAAAGCAAATGCATACAAGTTATCTGTAGCTTTAATATTAAGGGGAATTTTACACATAATGAAAAGTAGTTGTTAAAAATAACTTTTGCTATATAGAGAGTATTATAAAAATAGATGATGTTTTGGACTTTTTCCCATTTCTGGATAGTTTTATTGTTGAAAAATACATGTGGCCTCTAAAAATTCTGAGATCTGGTTTTTAGAAACTAGGATTTAGTTTTCTAAAGTATTTATATCTTTGATAAGCATCTTTTAATGTTTTTATTAGTGCTTTATAGTTATACATAATAATGTGGTTCATTTTGACATAATCACATATGCATGAACTAGAGTTTGCTTAATTTCAGTCCCCAGTACTTATCTTTTCCTCCCTTCCTCCTTTCCCTGCTCTCCTTTCTCTGTTCTTTGTTCCCATAGTGAGTTTCACTGGTGAAGTCCTAGCAAAGCACACACACACAACACCAAAAAACCATGATGATGACATTAAAGCCATTATTCTTTTTCTCCCTGTTGCTGGAATTTGAACCCAGAGCCTCATGCATGAAAGGCAAGGGTGCTATCCATGAGCTACACTCCGATTCTGCTATTAATGCTTCTTTTAAAAAATACAAAACAATAGGACTTGATTGCTGGCCTTCTCAGAGATAACCAACTGTAGTTTCTACCTCATTTAAAGACACAGACAACCAATCAGAAGGACAGTCATCAAGAATACAAAACTTATAAATACTGGAGAGGATGTGGAGAAAAAGGAACACTATTACACAGTTGTGAGAATGCAAATTAGTATAATAACTATGGAAATCAGTATGGATGTTCCTCAAAAGACCAGGCAGGGTACCACCTATGACCCAGCTATACCACTCCTCCTTATTTAGCCTAAAGAACTAAAGTCATCACCCAACAGTGATACATGCTTATAGCACCACAATTTACAATAGCCATACTATGGAACCAACCTAGGTGTCCATCAACAAATGAATGGATAAACAAAATGTGAGCCAAACTCAGAAGGTCAAGGGTCATATGTTTTATATGTTTTCTCTCATATGTGGAAGCTAGAGAGGGAAAAGGAGAAGAAAAGTGGAGAGGGCAGGGATCTCAAGAAAATCAAAGGGAGATATGTAGATGAAAGGGGGTGGAAACAGGGGAGGGGGTAAGTGCTAGAGAGTGATATTGGCCAAGTTATAATGTTTTATTGTGTTCATGTACAAATATGTAACAACAAATCCCATCATATGTTCAACTACAATGCACCAATTTAAAAATGTAGAAAAAGACAAAGACACAGACACATTTGTTTTTGATATGTCAGTTAAGTATGTATTAAATAACTGCTTGAGTCATAATACACATACCTTAAACTCCACACCCATTCAACTTTTTTTAAAGAGAGAGAGAGAGAGAGAGAGAGAGAGAGAGAGTTTTAATTTTTTTTTTTTTTTTTTTTTTAGTTTTAGTTTTTGGCAGACACAACATCTTTGTTTGTATGTGGTGCTGAGGATTGAACCCGGGCCACACGCATGCCAGGCGAGTGCGCTACTGCTTGAGCCACATCCCCAGCCCTCAATGTTTAATTTAGGGGTTTTGTTATCCACATAGTTGTACAACCACCTGCATGATTTTACTTCAGAACATTTTCATCACCCCAAGGAGAAAATTATATCCATTAGCAGTAACTTCCCATTCCTACCTCCCCTAGCCTTAGACAATATGGTCATAAAAGTCTACATACTGAGAATAAGCAACAATAACTTATATACTTGCTTCAAAACGTGTTTTCTCCTAAAATATAAGATTGAATTCACTAAAGTTATTCAAAGCTTTTATATTATAAACTAAGTCCAATTTTAAACAGTTTCCCACTTCACAAGATCAGTTTTAAAATCACTAAAACCAGCTGGGCGCTGTGGCACACTCCTATAATCTCAGCTACTTGGGTTGCTGAGGAAGGAGGATTGCAAGTTTGAGGCCAGCCTTGGCAACTTATCGAGGCCTTGTCTCAAAAAATAAAAATAGAAGGGGGGCTGGGGATGTAGCTCAACAGTAAAGCACCCCTGGGTTCAATCCCAAGTACAAAAAAGAAATACTAAACCCAGACTCTAAAAGACTATCAATATTCTTTCCTGACTTCCCCATTCTGAGATGCTACTGAGACTCCATGGAGTTTTTCCTTATGACAATGAGTCTAATCAACTTTGCTTTGCTTGATCCACAGGTGTTCTCATTCCTGCAGTGAATCTGATAGACTCAGCTTTGAGTAACCAACAGATGTTTGCGGTGGACACTTAGAATCTGCATTTGGCAGTTCCCTCACTCTCATAGTTGGGTTTATTGGGCAAAAAGTCAAAGTGGTTCCAGCCCTGTCTTGTTTGTGATCATGAGTAACACACATTTCCCCTTGTCAAGCTCTTGAAGTGCAAGATGATTTTAATACATTTACCTTTCTTTTCCTTTGCCATCAAAAAGCTCTGACTTTTGCATCTGACTTGCCTTCATAGTTTCCTAGCCAGTAGTGATATTCCATTGCACTGTCACTTGAAAATGCCAAGAAACACATGTGAGGGTCTCGGCTCCTTTAAAAACCCTCTTTTTAAGTTCAAGGTGGGATATGTCCATCCACATCTTGCCCCCCTTGGGATTGGTGGAAGATAATCAATAAGACCATAGTATGGCAACAGCTTCCTTCAAAGAAATGTCACAAATATATTCTTCAAAGTCAGCTTTTTAACACCCTTAAAGGATGTTAATTTTTAGAAAATAACAGTCTATTTTCTTTGAAGACTTGAATTTGGGATGGCAGCCACACTTTGGAATACCAAGTTTATTGTATCCCAGCACTTCAGTCAAAACTCCCAGTGTGACATTCAAGTACAACTTTGGGTGAATGGACCTAAAGTTTGTTTACTGAGAAATATGTGCTATTAAAAGTAATTTAGGAGACCAAGTATATCATCTAGAGTTTCCCATACTTTAATGTATAGACACAATTGCCTTGGTAATCTTGTTAAAATGCAGATACGTGGATTATGGTTCAGCAGGTCTAGAGTGAGGTCTGAGCTTGTGCATCACTAACAAGCTCCCAGAAGATGCCAGTGCCACTGGTCCACAGACCCTGCTTGGCATAGTGAGACTTCAACCAGCCTCCCTGTTCAGAAATTGGATCAGAATTATGAATTCTGTGAGCTGGGAAATTGAAAACAGAACAACCAGAATGTAATCACTCATCCTGTTGTTGTCTAAGCAAGGAAAGAAGGAACAAGAATCTGGCAGAATATGAAGAATGATGAAATTGAGATATTGTAGTGGTATAGGAGGTGCAGGAGGATTCCAAATGGAGCCTAGCTGAAGATGTGAGACAGCAGGAAGGAGATAAGAATAGGTCAGAGGAGCAAGTGAGATTAATGAGAGGAAGAACACAAAAAATCATTATACTATGGCATTATGGTACATGTTTTATTGGATGAACATACTGCCAAATATCAGCTTTGCTTATTGTACTTATGAGAAATATTAGGTTCTCAAATTTTTTGACTGATATTAAAAGAACCTGAAGGGGTGGGAGAGAGTCTGATAATTGGGAAAACATGGTTCTAGCCCAGGCACAACATGCCAATTATTTTCTTTTCTGTTTGTTTTCACATCCACTATTGCTATGCCACATTCACGAACTTTTCTTAAGTATCTAAACTGATAGTGAAAATATTGCAGAAGTTGGAAAAATAGAATTATGAAAATGTTCAGCCTACACAAAAATACATTTAATTATCTTGTAAATTTGCTGTAGCTAGAAAAACTTCCAGGATTTTCCCTGTCAAGGACTATTCATCATTATTTTTCCTTTTTTAATTAATACAGAAATTGGGGTGGGGTCAAAAGAATCAACCATTTTCATCAGTATTTCTTGAAAGAGCAGAAATGATAGTGCATAAAACAGAAGTGTCCATAGGCAGGGATTTCTGTTACTAACCATTGCCATCCAGGGAAGAACTAACCATGTTTTATCATTTTATTGCAAAGCAACAATGAAAGTCAGGACATCTCACCTACCTGTCATATGACCTGCTTGTAAATAAATGTGTTGAGACAAATTGGTAAGTGAGACACTTTGCAAGGACTACAATTATCAGGGGTAATGAATCTGTTTCTGGTTCAATGACATGACTGAAAAAGGAAAAGAAAAGAAAACAAATGAAAAACAAGTAACATATTTTTAGTCTACTCACTGAACTAGAGAAAAATACTTTCCGTTCTAAACTTTAAAAATATTTTACAATGGTTCTATTTATAAGAAGCTGCAGGTTATTTCAGAGGCAACTTACCATCTTAAAAGTTGAGAAATGAATTTGACTCCAGCTAAGCAACATATGTGGTTGCCATAAATTGAAAATCTTGACAAAAAGAAAATAAAAATTTTTCCTCTTTCTCTACACACACACACACACACACACACACACACACACCACTTTTGATTACCTTTACTGTCTAAAATGTATGCCTTTGTTAACTTAAAAATAGTTTTTCCAGTCACTATATTTATATGCTGGTGTCCTTCTCATTATCATTTCTGTTTCTTCTTTTGGGAACAGTATTATGAGTGGTTTCGTGACAGAAAAAATAAATGCAGATGAATCATGAAGATTCTTTAAATGAACCTTAAGCCATGTTAAAATAGTTGATTCATTTTTGTTTCCCTCCCACAGGAGTAATAAAAATTCATTTAGTCTAAATCATTTTCACTTTATCTACCAGTTTCTGGATTTCTCAAACCTGAAGGATTTTTCTGAGTATTTCCATCTAAGGGATTTAGAACCTGTGTGTCTGACCCTTGGTAGGAAGGCTCATTTGACATTATCATATATGATGATTTTAACTTCTGGGGGCATATCAACATTCAAAATGTTTAAAAGAATAAAATAAGTGATGACTAGCTCCATTAAAGTAACCAAAAGAATGAATATTCATTTTCTTCATTTGCTAATTATAGGCCATTTTCTCTGCATTATCCCTATGACTAGTTTTATTCCAAAGAATGTAACTTTCATGAATTAAAGTGAGCTTCTTGTTCACTCTTATTGACTAGCTTAATTAATAATTAAAATATTTGGTACTTTTTAAGCCTTTAGGGGATTTTAATTATGCTGATTTAAGGTAAACCCTGGAAGGGACCTTTTTGGAATAGATGTGGATGGCAAGTTATTGAAACCAAGATGATAAATACATTCCCAATATATGCCCACAAAATGATCCTGAGTTATTATTATAATTGTAGTTAACCAGTGTTATTTCAGTTAACTATGTATTCAACTGAAAGTATGTAAGCCTTGGGCTATTAATCATTCTTAAAAGACAGAGTGTCATATCTCCAGCTCCAATGGAGGTGTTAATTGTTTTAATGATTCTCTAGAACAGAGATAACGAAGTTGGCTTAGAAACTTGAAATTCAGTTCTACTATACTGTGTTAATCATTTGTATTGAGTTTAAGGGAAACATCTTAACAAAGATTCCCTTTTGACTTAAACTTTAATAAGGCTCCTCTGAGTCCCCAGCTTGACTAGAGCACACCTTAAACTTCCTTCCCTGTCCTTGCAGAATCCAGTTTGAGCAAGAATTCTATTAAGTCAATTTAGGGAACATCTGCACCCTTCATACCTGACCACTTTTGATATTGGATGACCTTAGACTACCTGTAGCATTGATCCTGTGAAGTCTGGTTTAGCCAGAAACACCTTATCTTTGATACCTTCTCTTAGTAATTCCACCCACTCACCCCATCCTGCTCTTGGATTATAAATCTCCATCTGTCTTTGTTACGTTATAGTTAGAAGTTATAAATGAATCTCGGCAAAAGAAAGTGATTTCCTGCTCATTTCTAAGACTATTATTAAACTGGATTGGCATGATATGATATTTCAAAGTAAATACATCCATGAGAAAGCATGCTTACACTGATGCGCCTCACCACCAGGTTGATAAATACAGAAGTGTCAGATCCCAAGGAGACAAGTTCTATACCATCCAGTATGTGTAGATGAGTTCATTCCCCACAAACACCTGTGTTCTCAACTTACTTTATGCCAAATAGCTATGAGTGTAAAAGAAAATTGGCTAAGAAGTACATATAAAAGGATAAATAACCAGGCAGGGCAAACTTAGATGAAAAATAAGCAATGCTGACATAGAAATATGTATTTCTTTTGAAACTTCTTCTGATTTGGATATTATTAACCTGTGAACTAGAAGCTTTCTATCCATGCCAGGGTTACTGCAGGATATTTTTCATACTTTAGGTTCCTCAAAGGTCTCTACTATTTTGAAATATGTTTTAGAGAAATAGTGTTAATTTATTTCCTGACACTTCACTATTGTGTGAAGACCAAATGTTCTTAATTCTTCTTCCTCTTCTTAGACACCTGTTTGAGTGGTTCAAATCTTTGAATTACTGAGAATTATCTATTTTCCACATATTTAAGTGACTCAAAGTACCTTTCTCATGGTAAATCACCTCCTGTTTTATATTCCCTCTTCTTGGAGGGAATATAGCATTTTTCCTGAATACTAAGAAATTAAAAAATAATAATTTCAATAATATTAATATTATAATATTAATAATAGTAATATTATCTCGAGTGAACAACACCATTTAGAGTGATACCAAATTAACTTACAGTGGGAAAGTGCTTTTCTGACCAGTTTTAAGAGAAATGGACTATTTTGGCACCTAAACATACTTGTGAGAAATGATAAAAGTATCCTGGTATAGAATTCTAAATAAAATCTGCCATAAGATATGTAAAAGTGCATGTAGGTTTATTTTTTGGTTATGGAACAGAAGATGGGTGGGTGGAGATATGTGGGAGCTGAGTAGCACAGTGAATACAATTTATTATTCATTTTGATTTGTTGAAGAAAAATTACTAAAGGAGCTGGGCTACAGCCAGTAGGATTAGCAACACTTCTTTATGGTAATGATTCAATGCTGCATTGGAGCTCACATTCCTAGGATTGTATTGTGCAACACAATGGAATTTCAACATCAAAGAAGATCACAACTTAACAGGTATTTTTGGTTAAGCAGTACTTTCTTAGAAGGAGCTTACTTGTCTTTATTAATGAAAATATAATTTAGAGAACCAAATATTCAAAATACTGTATCATTTGTGTCAATGTGATAGCTTTCAATACAGGTTTACATTGAAAAAAATGGAAGATTAAATTTTGAGTTAAGGAATGATGAGTGTTAACTGGGAAATGTATGAGAATGGAGACTTCAAGGTATTTTCCCCTAAATCAGTCTCCTCTAATAATTAGATCAGAAAGAAATAAAGGGATTTGTCTCTATGTGACAGGACTCACAAAAACGGTACCAAGTCATATACTAACAAGATCTGGGGTGATCAAGAAAGCTAACAAGTTGGAGGAGGTCAACTAGCCTTCAGGATGGGTAGATATTAAAAGAATTATGAGGATTGAATTTGATATAAGGTAGACAACATGAGACCAAAAAATGGTTTCACTAAGAGAAATATATCTTCAGAGAATGGAGATTGTTTAAGTCTGCCTGGATCACAAGGCTCTTTACCCATAGTAGCAAGAAGAAATTTTCTTTTGGAGAATTTTGACCATTAGCCAGAAGAATATGGTCACAACATTTTATGTGTATTTGATTTTATTTTTAACAGACAAGAGACACTCTCACTGAAGTATTTCAGGAAGGTAAATCTAAAACCATAAAAACTTAATTAGATATAGGAGACTCTTGAGACAATTAAGAAAAAGATTGGGATAACTTCTGCATGAAGTGATAAGATTTGGGATTTGCTATATGAAGGGCAGTCACTATGAAAGGTTGTGTGAAGGGAAAATCATGAGGATTTAATGAACTAGTCTTGAGGGAGGAGCACTAAGAAAATTCAGAACAACAGAGCTTTAGAATATAGTGACTCGGAGGTCAAAAGTAATTTTACTAGTGAAACAGAAATTCCAGAATAGGGCATAGTTGCTTTTATATAATATACTGGCCAGGGTAATTTTGGCAAGATCTATAAGACAATAAAGTGGCAATTACAGTAGTAAAATTTTTTTTATTAAAAAAATCTTTCACAAAAAAAGAATACTGTTAATTCTTGGTGGTAAAACACAGGCATTATATTTTTCTTCAGAATTTTGTCATTTTTTTCTTTTTTAAGGTAACAAAAGAAATTACATAAAAAAGAATAATTACATATAAGTGTGTTAAGAACCAAGAGTTCAAAGAGAAGTAGGTTGGCGTATTCTTAGTTTGGTAAAAGCAGAGAATGCAAGTGAATAAGGGGAAATTGCCATTTAATTTATGAAAATAAAAAGATGGAAGGTAGTGGTCATAGAGGAAAGGACTGATCCCATAATGCCATAGAGAAAAGTACGTTTCATGAAATCAGGAGTTCTAGAAACTTTGGCAGGAAAATGGGCATCTTTTTCTGGGATAAGGGGTTGAGCTGAAATTCAGAAGATCATGTGGAGGTGGAGGGGTGGTGTTTAGAAGGTAGATTTCTAATCTTATGTGCTTCAGGTTTCAACCAGTTTGGACATTATTCATCTATTAATAGTAAAAGATGCTGTAATTAAATTATACTCTTGAAGAATGTATAAATAGTTTGGAATGGCTTCCATATTCATTATAATAGAAATTCAACAAGAGGAACACTTTATAATTATAATTATAATTATTATTATTATTATTGAGCAGTGAAAGAGCACATTAATTTTTAGTGGATTTTCAAAAACAATAATCATAATTTTCTTAAGATCAACTCTTGATAGCAAAAGCTTGGGAATTGGTATGGCAGATCAGGTAGTTTAGAAAATAATAATTGCTACATGAGAAAGAATGAAAATAACACTCCTGAGAGTCAACAGCTGATAACTGGTTTTGTTGTTACCAGGTAGGTTATAGTAGACTCTTGTTAAACATAATTTTACAGAACATCAACATTGGACAAGGATACTCTGTGACTCTAATAAAACAAGTCAAAAATAAAACCACTCTAGGATCTTAGTGCAACAGAAATTTAAATAGCAACAACAAAACAAAGCCTCTTTGCAACCACAAAAGTGACAAAACAGTACCCCCCAACTTAAATGACTGTGTATATTCTCTAGCCCTGCTCATGAAGTTCCTTCTACCAACTAAGAAAAATTGTTTCTGCTTTCTACAAAACACATGCCAGAACAGACATTTACTTTGAGACCTCTCTAAAATCAATTAACATAATCCTAAATCCTAGAATAATCCCCCACTGCTTATTGCAGTGTCTTGCTGTTCCTCATGGTTTAGTCTCTCTTGTTGCAATCATAAACTTGTTGAACATGTGTATTCCTGGTGGTTCATCGGTGAAGGGCATCAATATAGGGCACAAAATAAGGTATCACCATCATTAGCATAGCTACTCTTGGGTATAAGCAAAAACAGAAAGAAGATAATGGATTGAGAGACAGAGGGGCCAGAGAGAGCACTTACAATAATGACAGAAAACTGGTTTGGTGTATGAGGGATTTGGGGCATGAAACAACAAAGGACAAACTTCAAAATGATAGTGTCAAATTGAACTCAGCACTTAGTATTTAATGTTCAAAGAAAAGCTTCTTGAATTTGGTAGACTATTACTCTCTTTAAGGACTGATTTTATTTCAAAAATTGAATTTAAGGCAAGGTGTTTTTTTTTTCCCTTCAAATGAATAGACATTTGCACATCAATTCAAATTTGCACAGTATGTTAAAAACACAAAGATGCTCTAATGTTCCCTTTCTCCAATAACATGGTATGGAAGAAAAAAGAGAAGCATCCCTGGTCCAAGAGGGGAGTGTGCTTTTTTTCCTCTCTTGCAGGGTAAAGGAACTTAAATTAAATGAAATCCATTTCTGTTGTCATTCAAAGATCACCATTAACTACCAACTTGTCAATGGAGAAAAATATATATCATTAAATATTAAGTCTGGTTTAAAGTTAGTCTAAAAATACCAAAGGACATTTTTCAAAAAAATATATATGATCAGATTGAGAATAAAATATGTTATGTATACCCCCACCCCATCTCCTACTTCTCTCCTTAACCTAGTGTCAGAGTACATGATGGAGAGAGAGGATTTGAGGATTTCTGTGACATGAAAAAGAATCAAGTTCTTAGATATGACATCCTCCATTCCTCTTGTCTCTGTCACAATGTTCCCACAAACATGTATGTAATTAATCTTGCTGCCAGTTATGGCTGAACTCTGTGATTGGTTCACTTAGTTATCTGGTCCTCTTTCAACTCGTTCAATATGACTGGACTTCAAGCAGGTCTCCATTGGCTACTGATCACAATTGATCCCCCATCATATTTGCTGGATAGACAGCTATAGTAAGCCTCTTGGCTGGCTAGCCAGATCCCAACCCAATGCCTGTGCCATATGAGAATTGAGGTTGCTCCAAGGCTTCCTTCTGTCAGATTTCATTGTAGTTTCAAGTTCCTTAGAGTCTTGTTCAAGGTTTGTAGAAGAGGAGCAGCCCAAAAAGTGAACCTTTTCTAACTCTCTCAAGAGCCTCCTTCTCAGCCTTTAATGTTATCCTTATACTCTACAGCTACCAGTGGGGAATGTAAGAGTCTCCTTATATTTGTTCCTCTGTCCCTCCTTTTTTTCTTCCAAGAAAAATTATTTCCTACACAAAACAGGAAATATTTCTATACATATTCCTATCTTCTTTGTATCACTTGGAAGTAAGCTGAGTCTAAAGTCCCACATGGGTAGGGTAAGGAATAACTATAAATTGTCTTTATTAAGTTGGCACTTCCAAGTTTACTTGCAAACTACTTGCTAAAAAACAATACCTGGTTTGCAAGGCTGCCACCTTGTGGCATAAACCAATTTGGAATATGATTAATTATTACCTAGGCCTTCTGTAACAATTATCATTACTCCACAAGCAAATGGATACCTAGAGAAAACATTCTTCACTCAATTGTAGTTTAACGAGAAAGTAAAAAAAAAAAAAAAGTTGGTTCAAGGAGAGCTGATTGATAATGAAACTAAAATTATAATAATGGTATCCATTCATGATACCATAACAACAACCAAACAGAGCACTAAAGTTTCTGATATTGTATATCTTGACATGTTATATTGGTCTGAGTGTTTCAGGTGGGGTTGGGGTCCTCTGATTTCTTCTGTTCCTAGAGGAATATTTGATTGATAACTCTGAGAGAGACCATACCTGTATGATTGTATATTTTAGGCAATTTACTTTCCCTTTTAAGGTCAACAAGCATATGACATGGTGAATATATGCATATTATATATATATATATATATATATATATATATATATATATATATATATATATCATTAAAAATCTGTAGTCTGTAGTCATCTCAATGAATGATTCTATTTTTTGTAGAATCAAATTCTACAATTTGATTCACTTGATCTATAATTCCCTGTTGTAACTCTACTAGAACCACAAGGGAAGTGCCAGGCATAAGATGTGTGCATTTTCCTAATCAGAACAGAGAAATATTTTAAAAAGTCTGTTTAAAATGCTCTAGAGTCTATGACGAAAATGCTAACATAACAAAAAGCATACTATTAAACATATTTATACACCAAATATTTCCTAATGTTGCACAAATACTAAATCTTAACCCAAACTGGCTTATGTTCCATTATTAAAATTTATTTTTTCTACTTCATGAATTATTTCAAAAGCAATTTGTAGGAGCATGTGACTATAAAGTGCTGATATTTTTAATCCTCTGTAAATAAATCCAAAGTTTAAACACAGTGGGAAGTTTCTCCTCTGTTGGAAATTTTATACAGCTGTGCTGAGCAAAAGATGTTGAGTTGTCTTTCAAATTGGACATTAATTTAACTAAAGTAAATTAAATTCCATACTTTAGGATGTCAACCTGATTTTAAAATTTGTAGCTTAAAGGTTAAAAAATACACATTTCATAAAATATTAAATTGTAGGGTAACAAATAGGATAATTATCTAACATCAGTTAAGATGTCAAGTTGCATACATTTGGAAATAACTGGTTTACATATATGGCATAGTGTAGTGCTGATTTAACAAAATATGTTCTATTTCCATTAAACATTTTTTATATATACATGTACATAAACAGCCTGCATAATATTCACTATATTCTATCATTAATATCCACTTAATAAAAACACTGTAATATCATTTCCATAATTATCATTAATTTTCTATATAGGAACATTTTGTCTTGACTAATTCTAAGATTGTACTATGGAGTGTTTTCATGGATTTTTAAAATTATTTTATTAGTGCATTATAGTTATACATAATAGTGGGGTTCACTTTGACATATTCATAAATGCATATAACATAGTTTGCTTTTCCCTCCTCTCCTCTCTCCAGCTTTTACATTTCAAAGGGCAAGGGATGCTCTTCTAGGTAGAAATTTCTGGGAAGTCCCTACAAATAGGGCAGGAGTCATAAAAACTAATCCTTTGATTCTCTCCAGTGATCTCATGTGCCTACAGTAAAAACAAATCTTTTAATATTTGGAACTATGTCCTGATAAAAAAATTGGCCTTTTGATCTAACCCTACTCAACCAGATAGATCACAAACTGAAGAGAATGTGAAATGGTCTATGAGGTAGTAGTGTTGACTAGTGCATAAAGGCAAGAAGATAAATGGAGAGATTCCGTTCCACTTTGCTGAATTAACTAAGGGTACTAGGATGATGGCTAATGTCCAGAAGCTGTAATCGATATAGCTGTTAGATCCAGAGAAGCCTTAAAATTTTAGGCTCATTAGCAATAAAGACTGAAAACTCTTATTAATTAATCTGAGCACAGTATGTTGTTCCCTTAAGCACAAAGAAAACAACAGAATTCAACAATGTTGCATAACTTTGGGGACAGAAAATAGTGACAAGAAGACATTGAGTTTTAGGCCATCATAGTGAAGGTTTTGTGGTGATAATGTATAGGAAGACAGAGGCTCAGTGGAGGGAACCCAACTAGAAAATGGTAACTAGATAGGAAAGGCAGTCACCTAAAACAAATAAGAATCAACGCTAAAGAGAAAGATGTGTGAGATGTCTTCAAAGCAGGAGCACAGATTCTTAGGCAATTTTAC